TTGCCTTTGCCAAGTTGGTCATCATGTGTCCATATCGATATCCACCATCATATGTGTTCGTCCACGTTTCTTTATCGATGAGGCTGATGTAATAATATCCTTCCTCGTTCTTCGCCCGTAACTCTTGAAACATTGATTCAAACGTTCGAGGAAGTAGTTCGTAACCTGATTAAAAAATATATAACTTACTAACTTGCTGTCTTTGCAAAATTAAAACGATCGAAAGATAACAAACTTGCTAAGTTTCACTTACACATGCGCATAATTAATTGACGCTCATCATTCTTCTTGTACCTTCCATGGTAGTTCGCGGCAATGTGTCGAAGACAATACCTATGTTGGACAAAGGGTGGTTGCCACATTGGACCCAAAGACTCTATTGATGCTTTGATCCCAGCTCCGCGATCTGAAATGACACAGATGTTTTCCCTCGTGATAACATGTGCACGTAAATTTCAGAGGAAAAAAGCCCAAGAAGCTGTATCTTCTCATTCGACAAGAGCAAAAGCAACTGGAAGAATGTTGCGATTGCCATCTTGGACAACTGCCAATAATAAAACTTGTTTGTATTTTCCATACAAGAAAGTCCCGTCGATCTGGACCACAGGCTTGCAGAATTTGACAGCATTAATGCACTGTGGGTAACTCCAAAAAACCCGGTAGAATTGGCATCGATCGCGAAGAACTCGATCATTATGGTATGCATAGGAGGTTTCGAAGTCCACAATTTTCCCAAGATTCAACGTTCGCACCAGCCTAAACCAACCTGGAAGTTCGTTGTAAGATGCATCTCATTCGCCATGAAGTTTGACAATGGCATTTTGTTTTTCCAACCAAGCTTTTTTATAGGAGACAGTGTACCCATACTGCGATTGTATAGTTGAAATCAACACTACAACAGCTATATGAGAGCTTGCTTTAACCATGGGCATGATGGCTTGACATATCACTTCAGAGTCCAAGTTGGGATGATCTTGGTTGACCCTTCCAGCACAACATGTGTGAGGACCGTTGTATACTGTTAGTTCCCATCTGTTGTTTTTCCTCTTCGATACGCGAACCATCCAATTGCATCCATTTTCGCGCTGGGCACAGCAGCATACATATTTTTCGGTCGTGGAGCGGTCTACTCTGGACTCAACAGAATTACGAATATTGTAATTTTTGATAGCCATCCTCGCTTCTTCTTTGCTTGAAAACTCCATGCCTAAAGATAACTCACCATTATTTATTGATGAGTAATACCCATAGTCACCGAGATGAGGCTTATCTGCAAATTCTGGCCCGTACATTGCATCATAATCAGCTTCATACATGTGTACAAGAGGGTCAGTTTGTGCCATATTTCCTGGAACTTCATCATCATCGGAGTTGAATTGCGGTGATTCTGGGTCAATGAACAGTCCAGTCTCAGCACCATCCGCACCAGGCTCACGAAGCGGTTCTTCTGGTGGAGATGATGGTTCCTCCATTCTCTCCACATTTAGGTCAAAGAACCTACTACTTGCACGCCTTCCCCTTGAACTGGAAGGCATATCGACATTGAGATCGAAAAAGCTCGCAGTCGAATGCCTCCCCCTAGAGCTTGAAGCCATCGCGTCAAATGGAAACTGCACAGATGGTTGCATCGATGGCATCTCCATATTAAGGTCAAAGGGATTTGCAGATGAATGCTTTCCCCTTGAACTGGACGCGATGTTGCCATACGGATTGTTCGTCGACCTACCTTGGTACATATCGTAAGAAGTTGCGGATGAATGTCTCCCCATTATGGCATTAAAATCATTACACATTACTGTCGTCGGACTGTCAACTTGATCAACTTGTTCAGTCAGCCCATAGTGGGAGCTTAATGATTGACCCCGAACAACACGCACTTGAACAAAATGTGCATACATCTCAATAGCGGCGTCTGAATAATTACTTTGAGCTTCAACCATCATTTCAACATCATCATTATTCGAAAGTTAGAACGCTGTATAAGTTAATGGCAACAATGATGTTGGAAATCTATACTACAACGACGACACTCTTCTACTACTTCCAACATGAATCTTCCTCGAAATCTTCGTTATAAGCTCCTCAAGAGTTATGTTTCTGTTGAATGATATTTTAACACGCTCATTTGATACGAAAACAACGCCAGTTTCATCTTCTCGAATTTCACCATCATAATAAACAATAGCTGAAAGTCGCGCCATTATTTGAGTTTAAAAGTGCGACACTATTATATCTGAAAAAATGAAACAAACCTGATTTAATAAATTATATATGAACGAACATATAACACAATAAAATTTTTACACATCAACGTAAATAAATTAAATAATATAATTTAATATTATTACCTGCACCGCAAAACTATTTCGACGTATGCTCCCGCTTTCCAATTTTACAAACACAAAAATTAATTGAAAATAATTAGTGTAATATTTTTTTCAAATAATCATAATAAACAATAAATAACAAAATTATAACAAAATTATCTTATAACGACAAAATCGCACGAATTTCTAAATAAAATATGAGAAGATTACCAGAATTATTGACTCGTTGACGGAATTGTTGTATTAATTTATAAGTTGAGATGAGAGATGTGAGAAATTAACCGGCGGATAATGGTATTTATAGCGATGAAAGTTATACAAAACGCGGTACCTGCCCCGCGCTATATAAAATTATTAGGAGTAAAGGTATAGCGCGATACCTGATCCGTGCTATACCCCTACGTGGCGTATAGCGCGCTGCAGGGGCCGCGTTATACCCACGTGGCACCAGCTCACCGTATAGCGCGGTGCAGAGGGCGCGCTATACCCCACGTGGTGCCAAATCATCGTATTGCGCGGTGCAGGGGGTGCGGTGCAGGGGGCGCGCTTTACTGCTAAGGGTGTTAGATCAGAAAATATAGTCTGACCGGTGTTAGATCGATAATATTACCGGTCACCGGTGATATATCGGGAAAATCGCCTAAATTTTTTATAATCTATTTATAAACATTTTTAAAAGAATATGTTTTTAAATAAACAAATAACTGTTAATTCTTTTTTAAATTTTATACATTATAGAAAAACTAATTATACATTAAATAAAAATTCAATTCAATTCAATTAAAATAACTATAAATTTTTAATTTATAACCATAAGACATCAAAAAATTTATATTTTTATTCATCCCAAATTCTATTTATGATTTTTCTAGTCAACCGAAGAAAACCTTTTAAATTAAAATTTCAAAAATAACCGACAATGATAAATGAAAGGGAAAGGGCCCACCGTGTTTGTTTGTTAGCAAAATTCCATCCTTGATGACAGGGGCATACGTGGCTGTTTTTGGTTGGGCTTTGACATGTAATATTCGACTATGTACTGTCTGATTTGACCCTTTCTGTTTTCCTCATTAAACGGCGTAGCTTTGTACATCCTTTTCTTCAAACGAAAACAATTTTAATTAAATTAAAATTTTTAATATATTAAAGATTATTACTTTATGCATTAATAGTAGCTGAAGGGAATCCATAGAAGCGTTATGTAGTTATAATGTGTTTTTATTTTTTTCATTTTTAATATAATTAGAAGACATTATAATAATACAATCCCTTGTAGAATATTTTTTCTTTATTATGAGTACATAAAAATAATTACCTATATATTAATATTAATTGTTATATAATATGAAAAATATGTACATTAATCACTATTATTGCATCCTTTATGTCATGCTTCTCTGAATATTTTATTCTAAAAATTCATGCAAATGTTCCAGAATAAAGGTACGCTTAACATGTTCTTGATAAGCAATTGATATGTCCAATCGCCTTACTTGTAGATAATCTATTAGTTAATCCAATAGGCCTATGTTGATCTCGATATCACTTATCGATAAATGTCATATTCTATCTATTTGAATTAATCACATGATATTAGAGATATAGAGTATACACTTTTTTTCTTAAGAAAAAATAGGATAATTTATCTCTCTAGGTGTCCATTCTTCTTTCTCTCCCCTCTTGAAAATAGGATAGTAACAAGTTTTTATATTTCATAATTGACATTCCTCTAATTGTTCGTTGTTCAAAACAGAGAAAAATGAATTGTCTTTATTAGTATCCTCGTTCAACGACTTTTCACTCAAACAAAAAGGGGTAACAATAATCAAACACCATCGAAATCTCATTTCTTTAGTCGTACATCAACATAATGATGCAGTGAGTGTGAATGATATTTTCTGACTAAAATAATCATTCGTAATGTTGATTATATTCAAACGCTCCTCTCCTGTAATCAAATTAAAAACACGTTGAAAACCAAATCGTGAATGAAGAGATGCCAACGACACCAAGACATAATTAGTTCACCTAAGATATCGAGAAAAAATTGAATAAATTTTAATTCTTATGAGATGATGGTGATAATAGGATAACATTGAAAAGATGAGAGAAAACACATCATCAATGCAAACAACATCGATCGAGAAAGTAAATATCTCCCAACACCAAATATTGTCACGCGAACAGTCCCAACAACTAAATACGATGCTTATTATAATTCATTTAGCCATGAAAATTAATTAGAAAGAGCTAGCTAGAAAGTATAAGGGGTTATAATCATATTCGGGAAATACATTAATAAAAGTATCTTTAAGAAAATACGAAAGGACACTGTTTTTAGATACGTGTGCTTCTATCGTATACAATGATTCAGATTTAATTTGTAAACAGTTAAAATATATTTTACGTCATATCTGAACTAAGATTTAATATTTGAATTCACTATTAGATCAACTAAAAATTTGATTATTATAGTTCTAAAAAAATAAAATCCTACACTTTAGATACGTCTAGTACAATTAGACCTATTTTTAATTAAAACTAATTATCATCTACATGATTAAAAAAACCCTTATTATTTATTTATTTATATATACCTTTTTACCTCGGATAGTTAAAAACTGTAATGTAACAGTCTTGTTTGCCAATTTAACCGTCCTCGCCTTTCCCCCATTGCCAAACAATGCATCCTCTCAAAATCTTCCCTCACTGATTTTCTCCAACAAATATAAAAGGAAATATGCAGCACCAATTCTGATCTTCCTCGACAATCCCTCGACACCCATCCTTTTTCAATTTTCAGTTTCACCTTCTCTTTTTTTTTCGATCTCTTTCTCAAATTCAATCCGATTTGGTTTTTGGATCATCGTTTTTGTTAAATCCGATTCAATTTTATCGAATTTTAGGATCGGTAAACCAAAAAGGGAATTGAAGGGCGGGAATGGAAAGATTGACAAACAATCATAAAGCAAAGAGAGATTGAGAAATCAAAGGATGCCGGGATTAGCGCAAAGAAATGAGCAATATAGTAATGCGTTTTGGTCTAAGCATAATGACGATGTTAGCTACAATCAGCTCCAGAAGGTATTTGGTTTTCAAATTTTTCCGGTTTATTATGTTCTTATTGGGTTGTATTTTTTGTCGAATCTTTTTGGTGATATAATTGTTTTTACTGAATCGGGATTGGATGTTTACGTTAACGGGTAATTTAAGTTTGGATTGGATCTTAATAGTTTGGATTTTTATTTCTCTTTTATTGTTTACGAGATCCAGTTCATAGAATTTATTTAATTTTTATTTTGTGCCAATTTTCACTCTGGTATTGGATTTCTTTTAAAATGAAATATACCGTTTGCTTAGAGACGATAGACATATAGAGGCCTATTTTTTTTTTTTGTTTAGAGCCAAGGCACTGATATTTTAGTGTTATTCCTGGTTTTGAATTGAGTATTGGAAGCAATAAAAACTAGAAATTTGATAATTATCTTCCAACCTTTTTGGATTTTCTTTTTACGCTTTTTGAGCTCAATGTGGCTTCCTGCTGTTGTCTATTGCCTTTTTTTTTCCTTATAATTTTTTGGTTGTCAAATGAAAGTGACTGAGGAATTGGGAATTTCAGAAATGGTGCTTTTTTACCTATTAGCAAGTTAGGATGGAGCACCCGAATGGTCAGAATGTGGAAACTCTGATTGTGAATTGCATGGGAAGGTGCTTTTTCCCTACTAGCAAATAAGGATGGAACACCCAAATGGTTAGAAACTTAGAATGTGAAACTCCGAATAACACAAAATGGTGTTTTTTCCCTACTAGAAAATAAGGTTGGAACACCCAAATAGTTAGATTGTGAAACTACGATTTTGAATCACTGGTTCGAGTCCTTAAGATGGGAGTTGGCAGGGTCTATGGATCATACAAAAGACCTAGCCCTTCATGAAAAATTAAATCCAACTAAGATATTTATAAGAATTTTCTAAAAATTTTTGAATCCCCCTGTAACTGGTTTGAATCAACTAAGATATTTAGATATTTAAAAAATTCTTCTAACTTTTTTTTTCATTTTTTTAATTTTTTATATTCATGAAGAAATTTTGAATCCGCCTGTAACTGGTTTGAGTCCTTAAGATGGGAGTTGGCAGGGTCTATGGCATAAGTTAGTGCTGCCCCCTGTTGTGTAACCCAAGACGTAGCCCTTCTCTGCACTCGGCTCTCCTTGCTTCAGTTTATGAAAAAAGGGGTAGTATTGATTATGCAATTTAATAATGGATCTGTTTTATAAATATGTGATTTATTGATTTTATTTTCTATTCCCTTACTAAGAGCTTTGGTTTTGTTTTATAGTTCTGGAGTGAGCTGTCATTGCAAGCAAGGCAGGAGCTCCTTAGAATTGATAAACAAGCCCTCTTTGAGCGAGCTCGCAAGAATATTTACTGCTCCAGATGTAATGGGCTTCTGCTTGAAGGTTTTCTGCAGATAGTCATGTATGGAAAATCCTTGCAGCTGGAGGGAGTAGCTGGTAACCTTCATCACAACAGGTCAAGAGTCCCAAAAAATGGAATTGATGATGGATTGAGTTTGACAAATGGGACACAAGAAGAAATTCAAGATCCATCTGTTCATCCTTGGGGAGGTTTGACAACAACTCGTGATGGTTCATTGACGCTTCTTGACTGCTATTTGTGTCCAAAGTCACTGAGGGGTCTACAAAAAGTTTGTATTGATCAAATTGTTTTCTCTGGGCATGTTTTCTATTTTCTTGTGGTTGTTAATGTTTCAATTGAATCAGGTGTTTGATAGTTCACGAGCGAGGGAGCGAGAGCGCGAATTGCTGTATCCTGATGCTTGTGGAGGGGAAGGTCGGGGTTGGATAAGCCAAGGAATTGCAAGTTATGGTAGATTCCATGGAGCAAGAGAAACATGTGCACTGCACACTGCCAGGCTTTCTTGTGACACCTTGGTGGATTTCTGGTCAGCTCTTGGAGAAGAAACTCGGCGATCTCTTTTAAGAATGAAGGAAGAGGATTTTATTGAGAGGCTCATGTACAGGTGTGTTTGTGGTTAAATGTTTTTCATTTGCTATATTGGTCTGCTAGCAAACTTTATGAAGACAGATGACCATTGATCAAGCTACTCTCAGTAGAGCTAAAACTACAAGACTAATGGCTATAAAGAAGAAAAAAGTTTTGTTTGATGGTATTCAAGACATGAAAGTTCCATTTTCTAATTGATTTTTCTGCAATGCTCACATGCTTATTATCTTTTTTTTTACTTCTTCAATTCAGTCAATATTTGTTATCATGATGGAGTCAAATTTCTCTCTTTGTGTCTTTATCTCAGGTTTGACAGCAAGAGGTTTTGCAGAGATTGCAGAAGAAACGTTATCCGTGAGTTCAAGGAGTTGAAGGAGCTAAAACGGATGCGTAGAGAACCTCGATGCACTAGTTGGTTTTGTGTTGCTGATACAACCTTTCTGTATGAGGTGTTGCAACCATATCTTTAACCTTTTAGCGCACTGACTATTGATTGATACTGTCATATGTTCATCTCTTATTCTAATTGTCCATAAAGAATGTAGACATAAACTTTCTTCTTCTCTCTTTACTACTTCCCAGGTATCTGATGACACAGTCAAGGCTGATTGGCACCAAACTTTTGCCGACACTATTGGAACTTACCATCACTTTGAATGGGCAGTTGGAACTGGGGAAGGAAAATCAGATATTATGGAATTTGAAAATGTTGGCATGAGTGGAAGTGTTCGAGTCAGTGGTTTGGATCTTGATGGCTTGAGTTCGTGTTATATTACCCTGAGGGCCTGGAAATTGGATGGCCGCTGCTCTGAAATTTCTGTAAAAGCCCATGCATTAAAGGGCCAACAATGTGTGCATTGCAGGCTTGTAGTTGGAGATGGTTATGTTACAATCACAAGGGGTGAAAATATTAGAAGATTTTTTGAACATGCCGAAGAGGCTGACGAAGAAGAGGTAACTCATACTCTGCGAGACATAGGGAAAAATTGTTTGGATATTAGAGATGTTATACTTTTGCTCATTTTTTCAGGATGATGATTCCATGGACAAGGATGGAAATGACGTCGATGGAGAATGCTTCCGTCCCCAAAAGCATGCGAAGAGTCCTGAACTTGCTCGAGAGTTTCTTCTTGATGCGGCTACTGTTATATTTAAGGAACAGGCATGTTCCTATCTTTTCTCCTATGTTATGCTTTAGAGTCTTGCAATATGCATGATAATTTTTTCAATTCTTTACTTAAAAAACTCTGTTTAGAATAATGCTGTCATTAGGAAGGTAACAAAAATATGGTGTATATAAATGAGTAGATGTATCTGTTAGCAGCTAGTTATTAGTCACACTTTCATCTAATTTTTTCTTGAAAGAACACTGTTTCAATTTTTTTTTGTTGACTCTTGTTATTTAGAGTAGCAGGGCTAATGAGAAATTAAGAAGTTGCATTTGGTTAAACTTCAAGAAGGATAAGCAAATGCTTTAAACTCGATGATTGGGAAATCTCTATACGAGCAATAAATAAGTTTGAGAATATTGTAACTAGTTTGAAAATACTACATTGGATGTTCATCATAATTTAGATACTCTGCTGGAGCGAAGAAAGGCAATTAGTTGTTGTGTAAGCAATGATATCATGAGACAAGTATGACTTTATGATTGTAAACTGACTACATGCTGTTAGTTTGTTTGGAGACAAATGCTAATATGACATCTTGTTAGTTGCTTTGAAATTGTCAAACAAATCCCTTGCAGGTGTTCAACCTCATTCACTTTGCTCAAATTCATGTTAATACAGAGGCGGTAGCGCACTTTTTACTTGAGAAAAGCAAATGTTTTTTGTTGTAGTTTATAAAGATACTATTTCTAAGAAATAATCAGTAATTATTCACTCTAAAGGAGCAGTAGTACACTAAAGATTTTGAATAGGTAAGAGCACCAGGGTTTGCCTGTCCAGTAGGGAAGTCGGCGTTGATCTTAGTTTCATAATGAACTGCTTTGAGAAGAGGAACATTGGAAACTATAATTTAAGTGAGGGCTGAGGCCATCTACAATCAAGGCTAATGAGATCAAATTTAAGGCTACATAAATCCTTTCTTCTGATGTAGTTGATTGCCATAGTTTGGATTTTTTTTAAAGAAATGATTTGTTTATATACATGATTAACACGAGTTTTAAAAGATCTTCTAACTGAATCACGGAGTTAAATGAGTTTTTGTTGAATACCCATAAAACTCGATGGAAATTAGAATAAACTTTGGGCTTTGTTCGGTGGTTCTTGTGGGTTGGGTTGTCTATGGCGTAACGGCAGATCAATCATACAAGTCAGACTGTTTCAGTTGTTTGTTTGCATTAACAATTGAATTTTGATTTTCAGGTTGAAAAGGCTTTTAGGGAAGGAACTGCACGCCAGAATGCACACAGTATCTTTGTTTGTCTTGCAATAAAGCTGTTGGAGGAACGTGTTCATGTTGCATGCAAGGAAATTATTACATTGGAAAAGCAGGTCTGAATAATTGGGCATACTTCAAAATAGGCTTTCCTTTCTGGGTATTAGTAGCTATAGGGGGTTACTTTTCAATTTTTGATAAATATTACCAACGTTAAATGGTTCTGCAGATGAAGCTTCTCGAAGAAGAAGAGAAGGAAAAGCGTGAAGAAGAAGAACAGAAGGAGAGGAAAAGAAAAAAAGAACGAGAGAAAAAGCTCAGGAGAAAGGAGAGGCTGAAAGGAAAGGAAAGAGAGAAAGAGAAAAAATGTGCGGAGTCGAGCATTGCACCTGCTGCTCCTGATTTATCCAAGGAATTATCTTCAACAAATATCGAAGTTGAAGAAAATATTGCTATTGATTGCAGTGACTCCGTGAGTGAGACAGGTGATATGATTGTGTGTACACAGGATTCTATAGACAATCTAGGAGAACGGTTTTTAGATGAGGATTCGACTACAAGTTTGCAAAGTCACTCTTTTGGTAGTCCTGACGGAGAAGATGCAAAAGTAAAAGATGGTAATGGCTCTTTCACTATGGAACGATCAAAATTTTCTCGACGGAGATTGAAATTTTGCAAGGATGGTCAATTTGATACTTCTGTGAAATGGTCTGATCGGCGTCGGTTTGCTGTTTCTGAAAGTTCTCCTGTTAATAGATGTGAAGCTAGATATAGAAGTGAAAACTTTGAGGTTCCTTCAAGGAGCACCAATGGATTAAATAGGCAGTCCAGGATAAGCAGTGCAAAGTCCAGTAGCCGGAATTCTGATGTTAAGTATGCTGAAAAGTTTCAGTGTCCAAACAGTCGGAGTGAGAGATATGAATTTTGCAGTTGTGGCCAACACAATGAGTACAGAACCAAGATTGAGCCATATGTTTCTGCTACTAGAGAAGGCCGAGAACTGAAGTCCGTAAGCAAGTCAAATTCTGCATTGGATGTGTCCAAGCAAGTCTATCGTGGTAACAAGTATAATCAACAAGAGTACATACACGAAGAATGTGGAAGACTAAAAAATAAAATTATTGCAGGTAACAACCTTTCTGGTCGAGATTCACTTCTTTCCAAGAAAGTTTGGGAGCCAGCAGAAGCCCAGAGAAATTACCCACGGAGCAACTCAGATACAGATGTTACTCTAAGGTCATCTAGTTACAATGAAGGAGCTGGAGCTGATCATAACTTTGTTAAGTCATCTGGTGAGACATGCTCAAGCGAAGCTAGTTTAAATTTGGGTGAAATTAATCACGAGCACAGCAAAGTTAACAAGTCAAGCACTCTTGCAACAGATGAGGACTGTTATGTTGAAACTCAGGATAAATGCTCTTCGCGGGATGCAGCATCCAAGGAAGTTGGAGTTTGTGCTAATAATAGAAACCCTACCTTGAATGGAAATTCTCATTCTACGATGAGTAGCACTTCTAGTTCTGATAACTGCTCTTCATGCCTTAGCGAAGGAGACAGCAATACCTCCTCTTCTAATCATGGGAATTTAGAATCTTCATCATCAGATTCTGAAGAGATCAGTCAACAATCAGATGGGAAAGATACTTCAATCTCCATTCAAAATGGTTTCTCTGAGCATCAGGTGAAAGGGATTGATAGCATACAGCATGCAAATGGAGGGGTTGCTTTGGAAAGCCAGCCATTGTTTGGACACTCACCTAATGGGAGAGATTCTTCAGTTTGCATTCAAAATGGTTTCACCAAATGTCGAGCGAAAGGAATTGATAAAAGTCAGGATGTCAATATAGGGGTTGCTTTGGAAAGCCAGGCATCGTTTGCACAGACACCAGATGGTGGAGGGAACAAGGTTTCCGGAAATCCACCGACGACCGTTGAAATTCCTGATAATGAAAAATCAACTGCTATTATGGGTTCTCAAGATCAAGGCATGTTCCCATCAGTCCATAACCAAACTATACAGTTTCCGGTATATCAAGCTCCTTCAACCATGAGTTACTACCATCATAATCCTGTTCCTTGGCCAGCTACACCTGCTAATGGATTAATGCCATTTCCTCCACCAAACCCTTACTTTTATACCGACCCTATTGGCTATGGTTTAAATGGGAACTCAGGTTTATGCATGTCGTATGGCACTCTGCAGCATTTTGGTAACCACCTGCTTAATCCTAGTACGGTTCCAGTGTATCAACCAGTTTCAAAGGTCAATGGCTTGTATGCCGAGGATCATATTCAGGTTCTCAAGTCTGTTACAGCAAAAGAAGAAGCTTTCACCGGAGTTAATACCGGGAGGGTTACTTCTGGCAGGTTGCATACAATAGAACAAGCAGCAAATGGAGAAGGTAGGCGAAACGATGTCTCTTCCAAATCACACAGGGATGACACTAACTTTTCCTTGTTCCATTTCGGTGGGCCGGTGGCTCTTTCAACAGCATGCAAATCTAATCCCACCCCTCTGAAAGAGGAGATTGCCGGAGAACTTTCATATCAATTTTCAGCATCTCAGGTTGAAAATGATCATGCTTGCAATAAAAAGGAGACTAGTATGGAGGAGTACAGTTTGTTTGCAGCGAGTAACAGCATAAGGTTTTCGTTCTTCTAATATAATTAGATAGGTAAAGGCGACTGATTGGAATTTCAGTCCCTACCTTTATTTCACAGAATACCGACGTTTGTAATTCAGCATACAATAATCTTTTACGGTGAAAGGAAATCCAATTTTAGTTTATAGTTTTTCTTTAGCGGATTGCTACCCAAATTTTCTCATTGTTTTGCTCTCTTTTTATATTGTAGAGGATGAAAATGGTGGTTTGAGGCTTTATGTACTCTTGTTTTCATTAATAAAGCTTTGCTGGTTTGAGGTTTTGCTTTCTCCGAACTCATTTGGGTTTTATTCTCATTTCTAAATTGTTTCAGATTCCCATCTTATTTTTATTTTGTTTGTGGTTTTGCTTTCTATGGGTTCGAGCAACTGTCTGCAGGGTATGTGTATGAAAATGGGGTCCTTTTCACCAAATTCTTTTCATTTGTGAGTTGGGGGGGGGGGGGTTCAAATTTCACCTGGGAACCATAATCCGTAAAACCCCAAACATTTGATTCAACAGTGAAGACCATAGTTCTAAGCACAAATCCAAAAAGAAAAAAGTTAACCAATAGCCTTGGAAAATTTCAAAACAGCAAGATAAAATCCAGGGTCATCTACAAATTCAGTAATCTCAAAGGAATGATCAGCTGCAACTTTCTGTAACGGCTTTTTCTCCGGCAAGTTTCCGATTATAAGGTCAGGGAACTGTTTCCGTTGCTGCTCTAGCTTTTCCCTTCCTAAGGGATAGCTAATCACCACTCTTGCACCTATACAAAAGCCAGTCAGAATCTCATATTGCAGAGGAAGCGACAAATGAACTCAATGGCCTGAACGGTTTTGGATACCGATACACGTCTAGCATCAGCATGTTCAAATTTGTTTTCCCATGTATTTGGAGAGTTCTAGGAGAATTCTTGCGGATGGCAAAACATCTCGAAAGTGTCAACTTCCCAGTTCTGGTCGCACGACCTTGTAGAGGTATTTTTTATAAAAGAAAAATGGGGCCAGTCTTGGAACTGAACTTTTCTAACTTGGTCCATGCACTTGGATCTTTAGCCCTTTCGATGATATGGCACCACGAGATTGTACCACGTTTTTAGCTGAAAATTTTAAAAATATATATTTCTTTTTTTGGTGATGACACACTCTAAGATTGTGTCATAACATCATGGACTAAAAATTCAATTTCAAGGACAAAGTTGGGGAAATTTGTCAAGTTCAAGAACTAATGTAGAAAAAAAAAATCAATTGTCAAGTTAATGACTGAACTCTGATCACTAAAACTAACAGGTCAAACCCAACATTCTATTATTAGATCAGACAGCTACTGCCTTCTAACTGAAGATACTAATTTTTTACCCATTTTACTTATTTATTTATTATTATTATTATAATTATTATAATTATTATTATTATATATATTATTATTATTATTAAAAAATAATTATCGGCCCAGTTACAAACAACCAGTTAGCCCAAACTAGATAGAAACCCTAAAACATTTAGGGTTTCAATTAGGGTTTACTAACCCTAGCCCCGTGCGCCGCCGCCTCAATCTCAGCCGTTGGATCTCCAACGGCCCACACTCATCCAGCACAAACCCTAGGGTGATGATACCCTAGGGCCACGCGGCCACCGCAGCTACTCCCACCATCTCCACCGCTGCCACGTCTCGTCGAAAGCTTCCAGAAGAGCCACTCCAGCCGCACACATGTCGCCCCACCGGTGAGTCACCACTGGAAGTCCGGTGACTCACCAAACTCCACTCTTTTACCCGGTCCGAGACAAGCGCCGGTGATGGCTATAAAGCCACCACCGAACCTGCAAGGAAGAAAAAAAGGGCCCAACAGACACAAAGAAACAAAACCGAGAGCAAAGATACAAAAAATAGAGACCAACTCACAACAACCAACACCAAAATAAGCAAGGAAAAGTCGGAGAGATACTTACTGAGGAAACTGCAACATCACCGGAACATTCACGCATCATCGGAAACCTTCGAAAACCGAAGGTATTTTCGTAGATTTGCTCCGATCGGGGTTGTTTTAAGGGAAACAGTCATCGGAACCATCAATAGGATGGTCCGATCTATATTTAGGTGTAAAATTTTTTTTTCGACCACCGAATGCGGTGGCTGGCGGCGGGGTTAACACCGGCGAACGATTGCCGGCCGGTGATCGGCTTCCCTGCGATGAGGGAAGCTAGAGAGAGGCGAGAGAGTTTTAAACTCTCTCAGTTTAGAGAGAGAGAATAAACTGAGAAATGAGAGAGCTGACCCGTTTCGGGCTTAAATAGCCCTTCCCGAACGACGTCGTTTTGGGGAGGGCTATTTGTGTAATTTTTAAATGTTAAACCCTGTCCGTAGTCCCTCTGTTTTATATATTTTACATTTTAGTCACTAAATCGAATTTATGATCCTTTTAATTTGGTCTCTAAATTTTATTTATTTATATTTTAGCCCTTAACTGTAATTATAAATATTTTGGATAAAATATGTATTTAGTCCTTTAGTTTTAATAATTAATATTTTAATCCCGAGTACATATTTTTAATTTATTTTAATCTTATATTCGAATTTTATATAATTTTATTTTAGTCACTCAAATTTTAAATGATTAATTATGAATTAGGTATTTAATTCTATTAGATTATAATTTAGTCACTAATTTTAAATATTTTCATTTATTATAAAATTTTATTATTTTTAAATATATAGTTCTAATTTTATTTTTATTATTGTTTATTTATGTTTTAATTTTACTTGTTTATATTTAAATATTATATTTATTATTATTATATAGTCATATAAATATATATATAATAAATATTAATTTATATTAAATCTTAATTTGATTTTACATAAATTATTTTTTTAATCATATTTTAATATTTATTTATTTTCCAATATCAAAGAAAAGGACATTCTTAATACAACTGGATGTCCTATTCTGGTATTTTTATAAAAAAATTTATAATTTTATTTAAATTATTATAATATTTAATATCGAAGAAAAGAGCTGTCTTAAGGCACCTAGAAGTCATTTTCTGATATTATTAAATAAGTAAATATCTTATTTATGTTTAATATATTTTCATAAAATCATAAATTTGAAATAAATAAAAAATTATAAATTAAATATATCTTTGAATTCTTAAATTTTTAATAATATAGACAATTTTTAATTAATAAAGTACCAATTTTTGGCGTTGTAGGGGTGCTAATCCTTCCCTAAACGTAACCGACCACGAATCCCTTTTTTATTAAAAAGAACGAATTTTTGGTTATAAACGCAGATCAGTTCATCTTTTAACTGATGTTTTCTTAAAACTCTTTTAAAAGATAATTTTTAGGTATTCGACCTAACTGACCCAAAAGGCCGATGGTGACTCCCAAATTATTTTATTTTTAAAACCATTTATTCATATCACTTTTCCCGCCAAGTAAAAAATTCGTGCCCGGACGAAAACCAGTTACGACAGCTTGGCGACTCCGCTGGGGACCGTCAAACTTTTAAAATCAATTATAAATTGTCTCTATTAATTATAAATTAAAAATTCATATATTTAATTTATAATTCTTTCTTTTCAAATTTTTTATATACTTTATATTTTTATATTATTTATATTTCATTTTACTTGCAAGTATTTTATTTCATTATTTATTTTTCTGTCAGAGGTTTGAACATTTCTCCTCACACACAACACTTACATTGCATAACATAAAGCTCTATAACTGAGTTTGTCCCTTTTAAGTGGGAGTGAAAGCGACGTCTTCGTGAGAATTTATTCTCCGTGTCAGACCTAGCAAGTAACTTTCGGGGTTCATATGCTCTATGTCTTCGGGAGAATTTATTCTCCGTGTCAGGCATAGAGAAGTGTATCCCCTCGAATTGAACTCGATCCACTTTAGTCTGTGATGGACTAGGATTAAGGGTTAACAGCCCAAGGGGGGCACTAACAAGGACAATTCGGGTACCTTTATTCTTAGATCTGAAACCCTACATATAATAAACCCTAGAAACTCTTCCGATCTGAAGCCATGCCGAAATATTGTCCAAAATAGGTGTACACACAGGAGAAATAAATTCTAACTTTCCCTTTAGTTTATTTATTTATTTTCTTACTGATTAAATTTCATGTGAATTTAAAAAAAAATTTAATATGAAGAAAGCATGTTTAAATAAGGATATTTAGGTAGATATTATTATTAAATTTTTTATTATGTAAACTAATTCATTTCTTTTTGTGTGTTCTTTATTTTTTCTATTTGCATAGCATCATACAGGATAAAAGGCATTGATCCTCGTGTTAATTGTCTCATTGGAAAACCTTCATCCATGGATAAAAAGTGTTTAAATCAAATAGTTCTAAACTCAGAAGTAAGACAGTGGGCTGAGGACTTACAAAGACAAGGAGGAAACAGTCTGCAAGATGACTATGTATCTGACTTAGCCAGTTATGCTCCAGTTTCGCTAAAAAGAAATGACATGCAAGATTTGCGAAGCATTTGGGAAAGCTGGGATTCAAACAAAAAGTTGCAGTTTTATCAGACTTGCGAAGACATTCCATATTTGCTCTATGTCGAAGTTGATGATGACTTACTTCGAGCCCTAATTCAATTCTGGAATCCAGTGTACAATTGCTTCACTCTCAATAAAGAGGACTTGGTCCCTACTATTGAAGAGTACACAACTTTGCTACATATAGAAGGGGCTTTGGAGAATCGAATTTATTCAAAGTCAATTAAAACTCAACCTTTTTGAGTTAAATTAGCAAAGATTGTTGGAGTACGAGAAGAATGGGTGGCATCCCGTACAAAACAAAAGGGCGAAAGCGAAGGCATTGCTTGGACCAACATTAAAGAACTTATTCAGAGTCATCCAGACACTAAAGTACGATTCGATCTCTTTGCTCTGGGTATGTATGATATGATCATCTTCCCAAAAGTATTGGGATATATTGAAGCTGCAGTAGTAGATTTGTTTGAGCAGCTACCAAAAAAGATTAATCATGCATCTGCAATTCTAGTAGAGACTTTCAGATCATTAAACGCTTGTAGAAAGCTAGGAGGTGGAAGATTCTCAGGGTGTACCCAATTGTTATATGTCTGGATCCGTAGCCATTTCTGGAGGACAGAAAAGGTTTCATACCGACGCTTTAATACGGACTACTCACCATTGAAAGAATTTCTGGAGCAAGAATGGCCGAAAGAAATTAAGAAAGATATGTGGATTAATGCCTTTCGAAATCTGCAAAGCAATGATATTGTTTGGCGAGCCCCGTGGCAA